AGGATTATGTGAAGGGAAAAGTTTATATAGAGTGCTCTAAACGATCAAATTCGAGCCTATCTCAAAAATTTCACAAGAAGATATTGTTTTGATGCTAAAATATCTTCAAATTCATCATCTCGATATCAAGATGCATGGACATGATAAAAAAATGGATTTCAAGTTTTGGAAATAGTGTATTTTGTAATGCACTTTTGGACTGTAAAATTTCAAGATTTCAAGTTTTCATAGATCTCTTGATCTACATTATTTTGAAGCTTTAAACTTTATAAATAACGATGAAAATATATTTTAAGGCTATCAAAAAGATTTTCGGTATTGAAACCATATTTCTTGACACTATTTGAAGGTAGGCCCTAATTTGATTGTTTAGAGCCTAGGCTCTATATAAACCGCACCCTTATCTGAAAATCTATTTTCATATCTAATTATACAATATTAAACTCTAAAAATGGTTAAAATCAAGTAGATCTATAAACATAAAAAAATCATGAAAATAGACGGTCTAGAAAATGTGTTGCAAGATGTACTATTTATGAGACTCAAAATCTTTTTTTTTTTTTAATATTTATATATCTAGATGTCGAGATGATCAATTGGAGGGTTTTTCAGCATTAAAACAACCTTTTCCGATGGATTTTTGAGGTGCATCTGTAGTTCTATATTTTAAGGTTGCAACCTTATATAAACTTTTTCTAAAAACTAATAATTGAAAACTAAAAATAATAATTATATTAGTAAAATATTTGGACTGTTAGTTACAATTATTTTTAGATGAATCATCTATTTTTTAAGATGGATGCTTTATACCTCTAGACCCCATATTATGGAAATGCAGTTCAACCCGCATGAAACAAGTTTCCATCTATAATTATAGGGTTTCCGTACTAGAAGAATGTTACTTTTGATACGAGCAATGTTACAATCGTCCTTAGGCTCCAGCCAGCATATGTGTAATCCAGTTGTAAAGAGTATGCTCACAAATACGAGATATTTCTTTGAACATTGATCCGATCAATTGCACACACCAACCACCAAATTTTACATCTAATAGCAAAGAGTGCAGTGACTTTCGTAATTCAAAAGTAAATAGTTTTTTTTAAAAAAAAAAATTAATGTGGCCTTATTGTACACTTTCTTTTGATAATAAATGCTAACGTCATGTTATAGGGCAATAATTTCATGTAACGGTTATATAATAGTATGATGAAACAATCTTCAAAAACTATATATGGGCCATTTATTTGATCCAAAATTTACAATATACATTCTTTTTATTCTAATGAACAATCACAAAAAAGAAAAATTTGAAAACGCAACCTAAAAAGTATTTTTTTTAGCCCAATTAACAAGACCGTCCATTTCGATAAGATGCTTAGATCTCGGCTTTAGAAGGATTTTTTCGTTTTGAATTTTTTTAGATGACTTTATCATCATTAGATAAACATTGTTCAAATAGAAAAAAATGATTTTGAATTTGGAAAAGCTAACATCTAGAAATTCACCAGAAGAATGGTCTAGACCCGTTGTTGGAGCGGACTCATTTTAACCATATCTACGGTTCAAATTGATATATTTTTTTGGATTGATTATTGAGATGAAGAGAGAGTGTGTGTAAAATTTTGGATCATACAAATACTACAAACATAGTTTTCTAAAAGTGTTATTGTATTATACTATGATACAACTGTTGCATAAGATAATTGCCTCATGTTATAGATATGGACCTGAGCAATGATTTCATGCAAAGGTTGTATAATAATATGATGCAACAACCTTCAAAAATCATATTATATCCATTTGTTTGATCCAAAATTTGAA